TTTGTTAAATTAATTTTATTTAGCTTTATTTTGAAATTTGTTTATTGTCAGCTTTATTTTGAGATCTTTTTAATGCATAAATTTTATATATAATTTATTAAATTAATTATGTAAAACTTTATTTTGAAAGCTCAAAACTTAATCAAATTTCTTATTTATTTCATTCCAGCTCTAATTATTTTGGTGTTTTTAAATATCTTTTTAATGTATAAAATAATATGAACCCTAATCGGACGAAATTATGTCTTAATGTGCTGCTTAGACTTAATGCCATTTAATTGAACAATAAAGGGATGACAAATTTTCCAAAGGTTTAAAATAAATAAAATGATTATTAAAAAATAAATTGTCTAAAATAATATAAATATAAGATAATTGATTCCTCATCAGAATTGCCTAATAGGACAACCATTAGTCGTGGTGCGCAAGATGATGTTCAATTATCTATGAAGGCACATGTTTTAAATATGATTGATTCTAGAACAAAATTCTGTTCTATCACTTTTGATTTATGGACCGAACATCTCAAGAGTTGATTTAAAATATTATACCCTGGTAACTAGAAATGTAACTCAAAAGGATACTGGGGAAACCATATTATCTGAGATGGATAATATTGAAGAGGAGTTCCATGTAAAAGTCAAAATAATACAAATGGTAACTGAAGCTGGGCTCAATGTCAAAGAGGTGTCAGATTGGGGGATTATGAGCATAATTTATGCTTAGGGCATAGACTTCGTAATTTAGTTACATTTATTGGCATAAAGTTACCAGAATTAATATTCTCATCAAAAAAATTAGAGAAATTATTTCAGCTTTCAGATATTGAATAGCTGATTTGGAATATGAAATTGAGGATGAGCATCGTAAATGTCTGCAGTTGATTTATGAGACAGGTCATATCTTGGATATTGATGATTCTGATCCATACCTTGATGACCAATTTGATATTTCTGATGAATCCGGATAATAAAAATGGCATTGCATCAAACAATCTAATTAGTACAAATTACAATTAAATTGTCCTACCCGCTGGCACAGCATATATATTATGCTAGAAAGTGTTCGCAGTGTAAACAAAATTTCTATAAATAATGTTCTAAATAAAATAGGAAAACAATCTTTAAAACTCTTTATTAATGTTAAATTCATTCCGAAAGTAGGTGGAATTTCTTTCTTCTTAAAGGGGATCGACAATAAACTTAGGGTTATTATTTCGCAATGAAATAGAAACCCATTTACAAAGCAATAGATCTGATTGCTCAGATATTATTTGCTTAAAGGAAAATATGAAAATAAAGCTTGACCATAGGTTTCCCATTACTGAACTTCAAGTTATTTTATATTTTTATTATTAATACTAAATTTTAAACATTAGATAAACGATTATACTTGATCCCAGATATTCAAAATCTTAAAATTGTTTCAGAATATTTAAATTCGAATTCTACATCATTGCAATTTTTAATAAGACATTTAAAACTTTTAGAGCATGATAGAAATGCACAGAATGAGATTCAAGTTGAAAAAATAATGGGCGAACATTCATTTCTTATATAGCTAAAATAGCTCGTAAACATTCCCTTCCAAACAACCATCATCAACATTAGCAATAGAGACCAAGAATGACATATTTTGCTCAGCCAGCACTACCAAAAGGGAATGCACTAACATTTTTGGAAAAAAACGACTGGAACTTCCTATGCTTGTTAATTTAGCTAGGGTTCGTTGTATACCTGCAACCAGTAAACCTAGCGAAAGAATTTTATCCATTGCTGGATTAATACTCAATGCAAAAAGGACTTCTTAATAGTTAAAAATTAATAGAATAGCTATGATGAATTTTATTTTACAATATTTGGTCTTTATTTTCAAATCAGTTTGCGATAAAATCACCACGAATCTTGGTAAAATATTATTTATTCATAAAAATTATGCTAAATCTGAATTCTGATTTATTATATTTCATACTTTATATTTTACTTGCATTCCAAATTTATATTTTAATTTGTTTTAATAAAAATTAATAGAATATTACTAATATGTGGACTCTGAACTGAGTAATGCCCTTGGTCTATTTCTGATAATGAGAAAATACATAAATTTAAATCGGAGTGAGACAGGAAATAATTTAAGAAATGAATTAAACTATGTTAACAATGTGTTAGAAAAGAGCGCCCAAATAAATTATAAAAAAATTGTAATACTTTGATTTATAAAAAATTTTTTTTGATAAATGTCGCACCACCTCTGCCGACAATTTAGTAGGCATCGGCAAAATCGGCGCGCCGCCGAACGTCGATGAAAAAATTAAAAAATAACGCCGCCATCGATTGAGACATCGGCGCACAGGTCTAATTGTAATACATGCATCACAATTATTATAAAATAATATAAATATTTTGTGATAAGAGTTTGGGTAGATTCTGGTAGTGTTGTTAAACGGCTCGTTTTGAGCCGATTTTTAAAAACGGCTAACTCAATATTTCGTTCAGAATAGTAATACGTAAGCCTGAAGATTTTGTTTGTAGAAGGAACAATGGTTTGGACATCTATTAGCGAAATCTCGAGGCTTAGACAATATTTTTCTGGCTAAAATATTGAATTAGCCGTTTTTAAAAATCGGCTCAAAACGAGCCGTTTAACAACACTAGATTCTGGAGTAAATAATTCTTTTTCTACTATTATCTCAAGTTTTCCTAGTGAACCTTGGCGCCTTAGATGATCATGAGCATATTCAAGAAAGTATAATAACCATTATTAGCCTGATTATTTGTAATTAAATTATCAGATATCTCTAGATTCCCTTCATCATTCTCAGAGCTTTCATTATCTTCCATAAAAATATGTTTAATTACAATTTATGAAGTAATTGGACCTTCCAATTCTAATATTATTTTATTACAAATGTCCTGATCATCAAATATACCATGAACATCATCATTGTGCAAAGCATATTCTACTAATTTGGGATCAAGATCTTATTTGTCAGTTAGTACCATATCATCCTCCGATTTCCAATCAAATGCCATAGACTTTAAAAATAATTAACTTCAATAAATATGATTATGTTACCTGTCACCTTACCCCATACAAATAATAGAAACTTAAATTTACCATCATGGAATGTTTGGCTAAAAAGCATAGCCTTTTCTAACATCATTGACCTATTTAAATTGCAATTTTTAACCAATAAAGCTGCTACTGTCTTTGAGTAACAACTCATCTTAACTTTTTTAGTTGCAAGGGGTTCTTAGAAATTGTGAACATAATCTTGCTTTATTAACTTCCAATCCGTAAACTGCTGAAACATGACATTGGCAACTTAACGCTAATTGTGTTTTTGAAGTAGTGCTCAATTTTTCAATGATTTTCCCATTTTGCTTGAAGGTTAGCCTTTAGAATAATGTTTTATTCTAAAAATAATTAAAAATAATTATATATAATATTTAATAAAATTACCATTTTTGTATTAAAAAAGTTAAAGATGCAGTTAATGATAAAAAAAAATCATAAATAATTTTTTTCGATAAAATTTTTTCACTTACCCGATTAAATTAACGTTATTGACATATAAATGGGACCTGAAAATTTTCGCAATTATCTAACGCAATAAACCGATTCACAATTATAAATGTAATTTAATATTAAAACAAGTAATTTTTATCAAAATTGCAGGGGTTCGCTTTAAAAATGTTTGCACTTAAGCGATATGCATTTAAACGGTTTTGATTATATTTCGCATTTACATCTAACTGAAATGGAATAAGTTAAGTTGGGTGGAAAAATTAAAAATGAGGACGTTTATCCATAAATATATACATATTACAAATACGTAATAATAATTTATCATCTTAGGTCTAATTTTCTTTTAGAATTTGATAATTTATTAATTATTTCAGAATTAACTGGTGTTAATTTTCGGTGAATATTTAAAATCGCTAATCCATTTTGCGAATTAGTATTTCGCAAATATGTTTTTGACCTTCGTAAATTCTAGATCTTTCATTAGTACATGTCATAACATAACATATAGGGAGATATGCTTAAATTTGAAATAATTTTGTTATATTTGGATAGTTTATTGATGTGTATTTACAAAATTTGATTACATTTAGTAATGCCCATTTATAAGCTTGCATGCCAATATTTAAATTCACTAATTACTTCCAATTCGGTCATTTTTCCTTTCAAATTATTGCTTAATATATATGCATACATTTTTTGGGGACAGAGAGTGGGGAAGGTGCTAATGAGGATATTTTTTATTAGCTCAAAATGATATTTACAAAAAGTGGCATATTTCTGAAGGGAGGTGAGGATCCCATCTCATAACGTCTATAGATTGAGATAAAAATAAAGTTGGGCAAAGAGAAAGCCTAGAGAATTGCTCATATATTTAATTACTATAAAAGGTAGGACAAGGGTGGATATTAAAAGTCTATTAAATAAGTAGATTCGGTTGGTATTATAGGTATAAATAATTTGAAAGTATAGTTGTCTTGTTGACAATCCAAAACATATATATGATTAATATAATTTATAACTTTTGTCCCTCGCATCACTTCTGGTTTTCATAAAGTTAATCTTATTTTTCCAATACATTGGGAAAACCAAGCTCAATATCGAGAGTATTTAAAGTTCGAAGTAATCAAATCAATATAGAAATATATCCAAATAAAGTTTTTAAAAAATAAAATACTGAATAATCCTTTATGATAAAAACGTATAAATTTTACAGTTTAGTTAAACTAACAAAATAAAATTGATTTTCGCTAAATGTAATAATAAAACTAGATTATTAATTTTAAAACGAATTCATGTTATAAATTATAATATAATATTTAATACAGATAATTACCAAATTTTATATACAATAATTAGCATAAATCATTAGTAAAATATTTAATCAAAATATCAAATGTGTTAAATAATTATAAAATATTTTAATAATAGATTTAAAAAAATTTTTTATATTCTAAGTAGTCGCATTAAGTTCTAAATAAAGTCTAAGTGATAATTTGATGTTGACCATTCATATAAAATTGAATAATGATTTTTATTAATTATTATCATTTTGTTATCATTGAATCCAAAATATTCTATGTATGACCACAATGATCAAGTAATTACGAAACCTTAATATTTTTTTTTAGTTTGATAAGCTAGTTAAATAAGAAAACAATTTGTTTATTGAATATTATAGATTTTTTTATAAAAAGATATGTTGATATCAATAATAATGAATGTTTAATAACAGATTCAAATAAATAATCAGAAATGATTGTACATCATATTTAATATTATTGATTTGTACTGACCAAATCTAAATTATTCTAGCAGTACCCATCTGGGCCTGATACTTCCATTTAAGTTTTTATAAACTTATATTTAGAATAAAGTCAACCACAGATAAAAATATTAAAAAAATCATTACTTAATATACAATACCTAAAACTCAACTGTCAGAACATAGATTTTAAAGGAATATAATAAGTGAATCCTGATATGTTTAGGGTTAGGAATATTTAGTTATTTTTAGATTTTAAGCAAAATATTTAAATCAAATCTTACAATATAAATAAAAATAATTTTGGAAAATAACCACTGAGGCATAGTTATTAATTGTACAGAACTTACAATTTAATTATATTAAACATTGTTTTCTTTTGGTATAAACCATTGTTAAATTAGCAATATTGAATTGGCTAAATAAATTATGCCAGGAATTTATGTTAATATTTGCTCATTTATAATAATTTTATTATAATATTATTCTAAATAAAAGCTAGAGATCTGAACAACCTTGCCCAACAAATGGGGCTGAGAAAATTTTTAAAAAATATAACATGCTGTGCCAAGAAATTTGTACATAAAATTTTTTTGTACAAGGCTAGGCTGGATAATTTCTACATAAAAATCAGACAGGGCCTCACAAATATTTCATTTTTCTTGGATTTTTAAAACCAGCCTAGATATTAAAAATTTTATATTATTTTGTGAATTTTATTTTGATTAATACTATTTTAAAATAAATTACAATAAACTTGTTTTTGCTTTTTAAGAGCTGTCTAAATATCAAATTTATAAATAATATAGTAAATTCACAAAAAATTAAACAAGTTATTATGATATGATCCAATTACAATACACAATACAGATATCAAGCCCAATTATTTTATAATAGAAAGAAATAGATAGTCATAGAAGAGAGATATAAAAGCCTTAATTGACAAAGTTAGATATAGATATTAAAATGTATTGCCTGCAAAATTTTTATAAAAAATTGAAGGGTGGGGTCAGATTTATTGTAAAATGTTAATGAGCTAGGCCAGACTTAAATTAATGAAAATCTAAATGGGATAAGATCTGCAGATCTCTAATCCGAGTATATGTTTTTATTTAAAAATTTAATTTAAAATTAACAATATTTAATTTGTAATAATGCCCATTACTAAAATGTGATTAATTTGCTTACAAATTGACATTTTAAATGCTGTGTTGCATGCAAATAATGCATTTCAAATTGTATTGTGCAAATTGATCAAATTACTGCTTGTTGTTATAAACCATTTAAAAAAACACAAGGTGGTTTGCTTTTTTCTATATATTTTTTATTCATTCATTTTACACCTTAGTCTACTCAGTTTATTTCCCAAGAAAGATGACAGAACCTTGATACCCAAATATTAATAATAAGGGTGAGGGCACTAAAAATCAATTTCTAGTTGAATTATATGTATGATACAAAATGCAAAAATAATTCATGACTTTTTTTCATAAAATATGATATTTTAAAATTGAGATAGTTAAAAAATAATGATGCTACAAATAAAATTTATGTCATTTTGTAAATTGATTAAAAGCCTTTTATTAAATAGGATTAAAATAATTATTTTCCAGCTATTTACGTTATAAATTTTAAACCTGAAAGCTACAGGTGTTTAGTTTTCTAAATTTCTTTTATTTTAATATTTTATTATTTACTTATATCTATTTGCAAAAAGAATTTAAACTTGAGACATCCAAGGGTTTATTAGATTTAAAAATGATTTTTTTCCCCTATAAATCATTTTTTGTTAAAATGATTTTTTCTATTTTTAAACATAAATAATAAGATTTTCCAGCATTAATATTATGATAAAATTATTTAGCTGCGATTATTATAATTTTTTTCTTGTAAAAAATTTTAATTTTCGAAAAATTATGTTAATTTTGCTAATATGATAGGAAACTTAAAATTCGATAACGATATATTCTTATTTTCTGATTTTCATCAAATTTAGTTTTTATGACGCCTTGATAATTTCGTTTTCAATAAATAATAAGTACGCCCAGTCGTCTTTGATGGGCTCACTGTTAGAATATTATATTTTTGATATGAAAAGGAGATATGGTGTCGCTGCATAAACAATAGAATTTACTTGTCCTTTAGAATGGAAAAGATTATTTTCATTTTATTTCTATTTACATCCACTTTTGCACAAATTCTCAATTGTTTTCTGGTCACATATCTTCTAATATCATCGATTAACAGATCCTCACATCGATTTACTATTTTTCACTATAAACGTCAGCGAATTCTAATATATTTTAGTATTGTAGTTAAATAGATTGGAAACACTGCGTGAATTTTACATGTCCCAAGCAGTGTTGTTTTAAACGGCTCATTTTGAGTCGATTTTTAAAAACGGCTAATTCAGTATTAGCCTTAAAATTTTTCTCATAGGTGGTGGTACAAAGGTTTGAACATCTATTAACGAAATCTCGAGGCTTAGACAATATATCTTGGCTAAAATATTGAGTTAGCCATTTTTAAAAATCGGCTCATATCGAGCCGTTTAACAACACTAGTCCCAGGTATTAAGATAAATTTACTAAATTAGCCTTGTCTCTTCTGCCTGATACTCTGGTATGGTGGCACAAGATAAATTTATACTCTTTATAAGCTCTTCAGCCTATTTATAAAATTGTACAGATATATTATTTGATCTAAATAAGATCTTTGTAAGCCTTCCTTGGCAACTAACCTATTCTGGATAGTTAATTATTATTTTTGAAATAACTTTTGATATTTTCGTTATTTTTTTTAGTTCATCAGTAAGTTTTTTTCTTAAATAAGATGTTTCAATTTTATTTAAAATAATATTACTTGTATCTATTGATGTGGATGCTATGGTGATATTAATTATTTTATATCCGTTGTCAGAATTTATATTTTTTAAATTTTTTTGTGATAGACACTTCTGGCATTGATCAGAAATATAGTATTTTCCGCCTCAATATTTGGAATTAAGTTATTCATGTCAGAACTTTTAGCATTATAATTAAAGTGTTTAGATTTTTTAAAAGGATTTGAGCATTAAAAAATATAAATAATATCGAAATATTTGTAAAATATAAATTAAAATAACAGGCGGGTGCATGCAAATTGGCTTTTATCTTTTAACAATTAATTATTTTCCCGCAGGAGCTTTTTAGGAAATTTAATCATTATAAAAATAATTAATCTTTACAAATTATAAATAGTAATAATAATAACTAAGCAAAGGCGACTTAAATAATATTTTTCAAGATATTAATGCTGGAAAATCTTATTATTTATGTTTAATAATGAAATTTTTTAAAAAATTATAATTTTAACGGAGCGCCATCTATTTTTGGAAAAATATTTATTTATTTTAAAATAGTAATATAAAACCATGGTGTCCTAAGTTTAAAATTTTTAGATATAATGTACCTGAATAATAAAATATTAAATTCAAATAAATTCGGAAAGCGAAACACCTGGGGTTTTGGTTCTAAATTTATAACTTAAATAAAAACCACAAGATTATTATTTTATAAAATTCCTTAATATTTAATGAAAGGCCTTTAATAGAGTTATAAGTGACATCAATTTTTATTTTTAGCATCATTATTTTTTAAATTATCTCAATTTCAAAAAAATGGTATTTTTGAAAAAGGTCATTTTTGTCACTTTTGACCATTAATATCGCAATTAGAATTTGGTTGCTAAAATTTTGGATTCGATGCTCAAATGATGTTCCCACATTATGCAAAATTTTATCAAAATAAAAAAGGTCGGGCCGAAATCGATTTGGTATGTACTCATCGATATTTGATTCACATCTTTGATAATAATAATTAGAAGGAATTAAAAGTAATATATAGGTCATTACATGTTAAATCAATCACGATTTTTCGGACCCCTTGGGATTGTCTAATTATAAAAACTAAAACATATTTAAAACAGTGATCCAATCTTAGAATCCTTCGCTTTTTAGATATCAAGGGCCTATATATGAAAAATGATATATTGTTATGCTTGTCGATTGTCTTTTTAATTAAAGATTTATTAAAAACTAGGAAATTATTAATATAGTAATTATAATTTTGATCTGCATCGGGCCTTATTCAAACCCGGACCGATCATAAACCAATTTTTTTTATCCTGAAAAGCCCAATTTGAAATAAAATTATTTGTCCCAACAACTCCGCTCGAATTTATTTAAACTTATGAATTACGGACAGAAATTTTCTGGACAAAAAGATCCGGACAATAGTACTCTGGTCAAAAAGAGACTGGAAAAAATACCCACGGACAAAAAGACACAGAAAAAACCTAATCGCATAAAGAGATAAACATTTTTAAAATAAATTTTTTTTAAAGTATTTAAACAAATTTCTAAAATTGTAATATTTTTCTCCGTTGTCTATTTGTCCATACATATATTTCCCCAGAACATTTCTTTTCGTGATTCTAAATATATAAGTTAGTTATTCTTACTTCTAGCTAGGAATAAAATAGACCTTTTTTAATTTTTTTAAATTATTATATTATTAATATTTGATTGCGAATTTTTTATCTTCGCGATCATTTTTAACAGTAAAAATAAAGTCAATCAAGCATTTGTGAATATTCTTTCATTGAAATATATATAAAGCAGTTATGCGATTCAGAATGTATTCCCCATCACAGAAAACAGCATCGCTCACTGGTCGCTGGAAATGTTGGAATATTTAAACGAGTTGTCAAATTTTGAGGCGAATATTAGTTTTATAAACCGATATGTAAATCTCAATAAAATATAGATTTAATATTATTATGATGATTTAAAGTTA